ACTGCTTTTAGCCCAGTAGCGTGAACTCAAGTCGGTTGGGGCTCACTGCCATGAGTTTTTACATCCCTAGTCTCACAGCGCAGACTAGGGATGTAAAAAAGGTTTTTTAAAAGTAACCATGTAACCATTAAAAATCCTAGCGGTTACATGTGCTGTGGGCTCTGCAGGAGAAGCCTTACAATGCAGAGCTTGCAGTGCAGCCAGCTTTTAGCCCAGTAGCGTGAACTCAAGTCGGTTGGGGCTCACTGCCATGAGTTTTTACATCCCTAGTCTCACAGCGCAGACTAGGGATGTAAAAAAGGTTTTTTAAAAGTAACCATGTAACCATTAAAAATCCTAGCGGTTACATGTGCTGTGGGCTCTGCAGGAGAAGCCTTACAATGCAGAGCTTGCAGTGCAGCCAGCTCCCTGGAAACGGGACTGGGAGCTGGCTTATAATATGAGCCGACTGCCAGTCCCACTCGTGGAGAACGCTGAAGTGTAAGGCTTGTATAGTAAGCCCACAGCGCAGGGCAGCAGCTGTCTCTGATGCATGCCAGGAGCCAGATTACATGCACTGACTCCTGGCCTACCCCCAGGGAGCTGGCTGTATTCTGGGCTCTGCAGTATAAGCCTTTTACTGCAGAGGCTGCAGCGTGGGGCAGCAGCTGGCTCATGGGAGCAGGACTGTGAGCCAGTGAATGCCTGGAAGGCAGAAGAGTTTAACTATTAGGGAAACCAATAAGCTGATGCTTATCAGTTAACCGGACAAACTCTTACATCCCTAGTGTAGACATACCCCAAGACAAATGATAGTTTAAAAATCCCAGAGCTATGAGACACATCATGTAGAAAAATCTCACTTCATTTCAATGTGTCAGAGAAAGTCAGTGTTTACAGGGATAGACACGAGAGGAGACTCGTTCCAAGCCATGTGCATCCACAATTTTTAGTAATGTTCAACAAGGATCTGATCTGGCTCCATTTAAAATTAATTGCAGTTTTGCCACAGATAATTATGTATGCAGCTATTCTTATGCAAGTTAAGTAAACTAGGGTTTTACTGCAATGTGTGTCTGTCTGTCAAATTTGAAATATTAACTGAAGAAAGTGGAAGGAAAAGAGCCTACCGTATTTTGGTAAGAGGTACATGTTCAGAGGCACCAGGAGCAGCACCAAGCATCCAAGCACTATGAAAGGGACTTCATAGCCAAAGGACTGATACAAAAAGCCACCTATTGGTGGACCCAGCACCAGTCCAAGTCCTGTAAAAATTTCAAGACTGCCCTAAAGGGTAGGAAGGGAGAGAGAGAGAGACACAGTTACTAGATAGAAACTAAGATCTGTCATTGATCAAGAGCTAGAACAAATACTATCCATAAACCAAGATCTTTACATGCAAGGACAGTGAAGAGGGTCTGAAAAAGTTGTCTTAAGAAAAGATAATTGAGCCTCTTAGGGGAAGTGTAATTCTTTCTTTTTCAGTCTGTCACTCACATGATGCTTAATGTACTCAGTTCCAGGGTACACCCCTGCTGCTGTTCCATATACCCAGTACATCTGCAGAGAGGTCAGCAACGAAATTACTACAGTTCCCAAATATAAAATATTAAAACCAGAAGGGAAGAACTTAACAAGTATATTGCAATGAAGCATCACTAAGTCACCTCTTTGGGGCTTAGATGAAAGATGTCTTAAGTTAAATAACTTTTCTACCTTCATACAGCTGATTAAGTTTAGCCCCTGCAACTAATTATCTACTGAAGTCCATCACATTACAACAAGGATATGTTTGACCAATTAAGTTTGATTTCTTTTATAGGACTGTCACAAACAATATGTGGGGCCTGCAGCTTAGAAGGCTAGGATGGAAGTTTCCATCCTTGCAGTACATAACCTGAGACCATGCAGGCGCAAACAGCAGCTGGCCCATATCAGCTTTAACCCATGCACTTGATCTGGGAAACAACTAAGCGGTAAACAAGCTTGACCTCAGTCTCCGCTCATAAGAGAGATAAGAATGGTGTTGAGCCAGTACACGCATACCTGGTAAACAACTGTAGTATAACTAGTGTAGGGAGGCCCACGCCCGGTGAGTCTCACGAGGGACCGAGACTTCGAAGGGTGCCCTGGATTTCCCCAGATGGAACCATGTCTACCTGGTGTGAGGTGACAGGAACGGGACTCCCCTCGGACTGAAGGGACGTAAGCATTTCTAAGTGCCTGTGACTCTTTTATGCATTTCTCTGCCTGCATTTATTGATGTGTCAGTTTGAAGTGGCTGTGTAACCATTTGGCAATATTAACCCTGTAATAGTAGTGACGTAGTGAGATTAATAAAAACAACTATCCCTAATCAACTCTGTGTTAAAGCAAATCCATAATCCTGTTTGGCTATGGCCCTGTGAGTTGACAAGGATTAAACCTCAAAGAACTATTAGTTCTTATTGCCAATGTATGGTACATCATTCAAACAACTTATATTTACACCAAGAAAATTTCCTGATAGAGTATTTAGCCATAGTAACCATTGGGAAGTGACAGAACAGTGAAAAGGAAGCTTATGCTGGAAAGATGTACTGTTTGCACTATGCAGGTAGTTCTTTCACCAGTATTATTATTCCCATGCAGGGAGGAGAATAACTACACTGGTACAAATCACCTTTGCAATAATGTATCTGTGTCCACACAAGGGCTTTTACTAGTATAAATCACCCATAATTAAAATACTGGTAACACTTAAACAAATTAACTCAAAAGAGATAAAGAGGAATGGGGGAAGTTTTTTGTTTTTTGCGCTGTGGCGCATCTGTGGCAGTCTACTTCTGTGATTCTAGCTGCTAACACAGGAAACCGTTTCTAGTTATTTTTCCACAGACATCAGAAGCCCTTTTTATATTCTCTCTCTAGAAGGAACAAGACTGACAGGCATCAGAGCCCCAGTTCAACAAGTCCACAATTCAAGGACCCAGATCATGAAGGTATTAAATAAGGAAATGGAGAGTTTGATCTAGAAAATGTTACCCCCAAAGTAAACTTTTATTTAGCTCCCCCCCTGCTGCTTCAGTTCCCTCCCTCTCCAAAAAAAATTACTTCCAACTAAACAGCAACACCAATTTCTACTCCAAGGCTACATCTAGACTACATCCCTCTGTCGGCAGAGGGATGTAAATGAGGCACTTCGAAAGTGCAAATGAAGCGGGATTTAAATACCCCGTGCTTCATTTGCATAATCACGTCATGGCGTTCTTTCGAACAAGCACCATTTCGAAAGTAAAACCGCAGACTAGACATGGTTCTTTCAAAAACGTCAGGCTTTTTCGAAAGATCCTGTAAACCTCAAAGCCTGCCGTTTTCGAAAGAATCATGTCTAGAGCACGGTTTTACTTTTGAAATGGCTTTTGTTTGAAAGAGCACCATGACACGTAGCCCAAGTGTTCAGCCATATCCACTCCTTTGAGATCATTCTTTTCATTGCTACTGGCTTGCTACATTTAAAGCAAGGCAAGCACTAGTATCATGTAGCCATGTAAAAATGCATTTAATTAAGAAATTGTGTAACTGCTGAATTTTTCAGTGGTTGCACAATTACATGCTGGAGCCATGTGTCTGCCTCTCTATTGGAGACATCAGTGTGGGGAAAAAAGGGGAGCTTGCATGTTATTGTGCACGTTAACCAATAAGCCCAGACTGATCTGTTAACCCTGTACGTACAGGGTTACATTTTTACATCCCCAGTATCATGCGGGGTTTGGTCAGCAGTCCTTCCATTTTATGAACTGCGAGTGAAGTCATCCCAAATGCAACATGACAATACAGGAGTAACCTATGCCAGTCCCACTAGAATTGATTAATCTTAGCAGGAAAAAAAAAATCCCAAATGTGACGGTTTAACTCCTCACTGTAGCCTCTGGTTAAAGCAGATTTATTTGTAAGCAGAAAGCTGTATGATATGTCAAGCCATTTCCTTTTGTTATACACCATATGGAATTCAGTTTTCATGAAGACTAGGCTAAGATAGCAGCATTTTTAGAAAACTTTCAGGCTGTACTCTCAGTCATTATCCTACCCATATTCCAGACAACACTGGCAAATGGAGCACAACAAAAATACATTAAAACCCCATCTTCAGCTAATCATTTTCTAGCACTCCTACATAAGCTACTGAATGACCTTAGTTTTACATCCACTTTCCTTCCATTGTTGTGGGACCCAAATAACTTTTATACCACCTGAATCATGTTTATTTCTTCAGGCATACAGCATTTAAATTAAATATTTTATGTTGGGGATTAATCTTTTTTAAGCTAGAGGAGCACATGCTAGACACTTGATACCAGCTGTATAGTTACAGTGGCTGTTTTCTCTGCAAAATGCATAAAGATATGAGTCATTAAAACTCTTTTATTCTAGACATATAGCTATAACGTGTGGCTTTGTACATACCATTACTGTAGCTATATTATTGGGAAAAGCCTTTGCAAGAATAGAAAATGATGCTGTCGCTGCTGCAGCAAAGCTTATGGCATCCATCGCTCTAACCAGAAAACACAAACCAATGAATATGGGTCCATCGGGTGCTTTGTCCAACATACTGAAAGAAAAAATAAATGAAATTTAGTAAATAAAAAAACCAAACTACAACTGTAAGGTAAACTATCAAAATCTTCTAGAGACAGCATGACCCAGTGCTTTGACCACACAGGGCAAGTCACTTGCCCTCGATCAAAGGGGAATCACTCTTACCTACCATGTGTAACATCATATAAAGGAAGAGCTTCAAAAG